ATAGATAAAACAATCTATATTGTGACAGGTGCGTGGTGGCTACGAAATGTGTGCAGAAATACTTTTTTCGGCATTGGTGCGTGTGCACAAGTCCATTAGCATGCGTTTTATGTGCACGACCGTGGGCCGAGTTCGTGATCTGTTGATGGATATAAAGAGGTCATGGCCCACTACCCATCAAAACCCCCACTCGCTCAGACCCCCCCCCCCCCACCCCAGCCCCTCTCGGGCATGCACCCCTCTTTGTGCCGTGTGAGAGAATGTGACCTGGTTCCCATCCCCGAGGAGGGGTGCGCCCTAATGACGGCCTCCTCAGACGCACCGCCGAGCCCCGAGCCTCCCCTCGGCAGCTGGCCGCCTCAGTCCACCAGACCGGGACTTGGCTTCAAGGCTTTTTGTCCCGATCGTGACACTCTGTACGCACCCCCGTGTCCTGAATGTGACACACGCATACACACGGTCGCCATCACGATGAGAGGACGGCGCAACCGGTTGCGGACCTGTTGTTTCGATGCGACGTACAATGAGCTCCCTCGCCTCTGTGTGTGTGTCTTCATCAGAGGCGACAGCTCCCCCACAATGGAACAAAGGCACTGTCAATCACAATCAAACGGGTGTGTGCGGGATCGGGGGTGGAGGGGGTTCTGCCGTGGGAGGAGTAGGTTGGGGAGGGAGGGAGTCTTGTTTGTCCCGAGTCTTCTGAGGATGCCAGTGTTGGGACGCTGGAGGCGAAGGGCAGGGTCCCATAAGGGGGGGTGGGCGGATTTGGGAAAGTGGGAATTCGGGGTGCCTGAATGGAAGACCCGTTTACTAATTGAATTAACACAGGAGATGTAGAGAAGTCTCATTGAAACAGTCCGCTCATCAAACCATTGTTTCACTTTCAAGAGCCTAATTGCAACATAATGAGGGCGGCGTGTCACGTCGAGGTCTCCTCGATATTGTCACCTTGTCACATGTCCAGAAGCGCTAAACTCTCAGAGATGAATGTGAACTTGTTTACCAGCACGGCCACATAATAACGAGCGCAGCCTTCCATATTTATCGTTGGCATGCCGGCAGAATATTTAACATGCACGCAATTGGCCTGCTCTCTTTTGTTTGCTGCTTAATCCACTTTCCGGCATCCTCGTTTCGACCATTGTCAGCCCTGAAGGAGCACCTCACCTAAGTCTGGTTGAGGGAGTCGCCGTGGCCGAACAATAAAAGACACGAGATCAGGAAATTGTGAGAACTGGGCTCGGGTAGCTCGGACCCAGGCGAGGGCAAAGAAAGGCTCAGAGCACTCTGGGATGGCGGCTTGAAAAGGAGCGGCTGTCTAGACGCAGCGCTTGAGCCTGATCCCGGGTCAGCCTGGCTCAACAGCAAACTCGCCTTCCCTTTTATCGCATCTTTTGGATTCAAATTGCATAAGGAAAAAAAAAACCCTCGCGCTTCAAAACGAAGGCATGTCAGTTTCATGGCATTTTAATAGGAAATCAAAATAGCTCAACGGTCACTCCGAGCTCCGTATGCGCTCCCTATTCAACTCATTCACTCCCAAAGACGTTTTTAAACGTCTTTTCAGACTTGGTCCAGAATTGGCTGGTACTGAATGAGTTCAACTGTTTGCATTCCATAATCATTGCACCGTATGTCCCTTTCATGAATATTTAGTCGGAACGCGACGCAGCTCGACCGCCCGCGTTTCAATGTGAGCTTCGTATGCGCCCCTTCAACTGTTTGTCGAGCTTTAACCGTTCCCAAATCATAACCCTCGCTCCGTAAAAGGCGGCTCCGCTATGCATTGAGCTAATATAGACTATGAGGGGACCGCTATAAATCTTTTTCTCGAGTCAAAACAAGGAGAAGGCCAAGTTGACCTGTGGCGGTCATGAAAGCAACAGAGGCGGCGGGGAGAAACAAACGGAGCGCATCCATCTCGCTGAACGCCAATGTCTGTTCGCTCTCTGCGCTTCTGTCCAGCTGTACCTCCGCTGTGCCCTGACCTCTGGCACGACGAGAAATGGTTGCCGGGGGGGGTCGTTCGCTCTGGTTCTGAGTCCAGACGCTTGTTTGCGAGATCATTTGGGACCATTTTTCAAAAGTGATGAGTCACGCACATTGTTTGTCAGACCGAAATACTATTGTGGGTGAGCGTGATGTGATTAGCTCGGTCCCCTTCTCCTCAGACCACAACACAAACAATCCAAGAGAGTCTGATGTCAGATCCCGCAGCTGTGATTAGTGTGTGTGTGTGTGTGTGTGTGTGTGTGTGTGTGTGTGTGTGTGTGTGTGTTTGCGCGTGTACCAGCATTGCAATTTCTCAACAAGGGAATTACAAGTAATTGTGCAAGGCTGGGAAACAATGCCATCTGATACCGGGTAATGCGACGCTGCACTTTTATTCTGAACAATGACGTAATATCGGTGTAATATTGCACCTGAAACTCTTGTCGGAATGTAAAAAGCAGGACAATGAGGAGCAGTAAAGTTCATCGCGGGTGCCCCATCCATCGCATTAGCCGCTTGTCCAATTGAGTCACGGTACCCGTATGGAACTCTAATAAGAGGACACAAACGTATGATCTCCTTGTGTTTCAAACGAACTGTCAACGGTTCAATGTTTACGTTTGAGATCGGTGCTGCAGTGGCGACTTAGGTGGAAATCTTCCACAGCCGCAGTCATATTCCGTCTCCCCCCGCTGAGTGAATGTTGTCCTGTGTGCTTATTTTATGGTTGTAGTCCACAGTAACTACTCGGTTTTGAAGGTTAGCCCCGTCATGTGATTTAAAAAAAAAAATGTTGTCATGTTTGACTTCAAGATGGCGCCGCAAGAGTGGCTGCCTTTCCAGCAGCTCCTATATTTTGTTGTTCTACTTCTTCCTTTCATAACTTCGCTGCTGTGAATTGGGAATTTCTCCATTGCGAGACTAATAAAGGTTTTCTTATGTAAGCTACCATCAGTTCCATTGTGCATGTACGGTTTGCACTGCTCTCTACTGTCGTGGTATTTGATTGACAGGATCTTTGTATACCCAGAAAAGTCTTCAGATGTTTATTTGAACAAATCTGGAGAGCAATGACATTTTTTCTGCGCAATGCGGAGCAGCCAGCGTGCATATTTTGATTGTGGCCTCCACTGCAAGCGGGATGAAGGGAATCTTTGTGCGCCACGTCCATTGATTTTTCGGCCCCCCCCTCCCTGCCGACCCTCCTCCCTTACCCGGGTCCCCTCATCAAAACAAAAGAATGCCTCCATCTATTGACCGTGAAAAGATGTTCGTCGATTTGTCCTCAGTGAAGAGACGTCTTTGTTGGTTATCTCCATTGGTGAGCCGCCTCCATTTGGCTGCGCCTAATCAGAAAACAAACACTCCTCTGTCGTTTTGGCCGCTCTCCCTCTCACCCCTTATCTCCCACACCCCCCTCACGTCTGTCTTTTTAACAACAACAAATTAGATTCCAATCATTTTCACTTCTATTTTTTTTTTTTCACCCATCACATATCGGAATGTGGTATTTTTCTTTCGGCTTTGATTTGTTTATCTTTGTTTTTTGTTTTGTTTTTGATCTCATCCGCTCATTTAAGTACGGTGTAAATCACTCCCTCAGTCGCAAGCCCAGTTCGGCTTTTGCCAAAGTGAATTCCTCCTCAGAGGAAATGCCGCAACACGAGGAGCATGTTTGACTCGACATCTTGAAGTTGTTCAAGATTGTTTGATAAAATAAAGGGAACTGAAAAGTCGCATCTCGACGTGCAAAATCCCGTCATCTGTAGCCCAAGGCGGCTAAAACGTGAGGCTATTTGACGCTGGAAATAATGATGTGATGAGGGGAAGATGCTGGCTGCATATTTTCAGAATTTTTAGTCTCCGAATATCTAAATTGTATGTATTGAATACAACATCCGCCGGCCACAACATTAGGTACACCGGCGCCATTTCTACAAGAACTGTTTGAACAGAAATTTGCCTTTTATTGTGACTATGAATGATCAATTTGGAGTTACGCTTCATTTATTTCAAACTACGTTTCTTACCGTTGTTGTTTTTAGAATTGAATGCAGCAAAAGCTTTTCACACGTACGATTGAAAGTGCCAACTCACACCCAAGGGGTTCGTATTCCATATTAATGGCAAGGTCTCTTTCTCCCACTTCCAGTCCCCTGCGCCTTTTTCCCCTGACCTGTGCAGAATAGACGAGCTGTGACATATAGCAGAGGTCAAATGGGTTATGAGTGCAGTACAGGACCCCACTCACGATCACCCACTCCCCTGAACGTAAGCCAGAAAGAGAACACAGCGATGTTTTTGCTCGGCGGTGGGAAAAGCGTCCCCTGGAATGTGACTTGGTGAGGACTTGTGTGGGTCCTGGCTTTTTCCGTCACAAGGCCTCCCCTCTTGTGGCTGTG